GGGCACAATAGGACAGAAATGACCGCGGTGCAAGGCCAAACACCACCTCGGCGGTGAGGAAAGGGTTTTAGTGAGTAAACAGCTTAGCTGGAGTCCCACACAACCCAGAGCGACAGACCACCAGCTCTGGGAGTGCATAAAAGAGCATTTCCCAAACCTCACCGGAAAAAAAAACCTACAAAACCAGACAAAAAGTAGTCAGTCGCTAGAAATAGCCTTGTACAAAAGCTGGCCGGAAGCAAATGGGGTGCAAAACCTCAAGTCTTGAGAACATCCGCGCAAGCCCTCTGTTTTTCAACTGCAGAATATGCCTGCCCAGTCTGGTGCAGATCAAGCCATGCAAAACAGGTCGATATCGCCTTAAACCAAACCTGTAGGATTATTACTGGCTGCATGAAACCAACACCAATCAACCAATTGTACAAAGCAGCGGACTTCGCAGAACCAAGCGAAAGAAGAATGGGTATAGAGCACGTAGAAAAATTTAAGCAAACCTTCGACGATCGCCATGTCCCTTATGGCCAAGAACAACAACGGAAAAGGTTCAAATCGAGGAAAAATGTTCTTCAGTGTGCCTCCGTGGAACCGACCGACAAATTCCCTATCAACGAAAGTCCCTGTGCAGGGTCAAATTTGGACTGGAATACATGGAGAACGCTAAACAGAATACGAACCGGCGTGGCACCCGTAAAAACAAACAAGCTGAAGTGGAAAGCTGAGGAAGACCAACAGTGCCTCTGTGAATGTGGGGAGGTACCAAACATGGGCCACCTGCTGGCATGCACATTATGTCCTGCAAAGTGCTCCATCGATGAGATGTGGATTGCAAATGAAAATGCCATAGACGTAGCCCGGTACTGGGCAGAAACACTTTGAACGGAATGATTTCGGACTCGAAAAAGTAAGTAAGTTCGGCTGAAATCGAAAATGACCAAAAATCTATCGAATAGCTCGACTGTTCTTACAAATTTAGTTATAGGAGAAACTAATCCATTTTCATCGGAAATTGATTAAATCGCAATAATCAAAGTCCATTACCTTTAGCTTCAAATACTTCAGATCCTCTTCTAATGATCTGCTGTGCGGATGGCAATCAGGATAACCCGCAACACCTACACTGAAATCATCTGGATAGTGCGTTTTTATGAATAAAACTAAATCGGAAGCATAAGGAAAGTCGCATTTAGTGTCGTCCGTTTCTAGTACATGGGCCCAATCTGAAACATATAAATTCTATATGGTCGATAGAGGTGCTCGGTATTTAACGTAACCGTAATTTCATTCATTAATTCTTCATTCTGCACAATTTTTGTTCAAAGGCTGAACATCGTTTTTTAATTGTATGAAAGTGAGAGATGGACATTTTGAACAATAACTAATTCATTAAACGGGTTAATTTAATCTAAATTAATCAATTAATACAAAATTATCTTTTCCTGCAACACATAAAAGTTGAAGATGGTTCTCAGCACGCAAACCTGAATTTTTGAAAAATAACATAGGGCCAATTGGAATGCAATTCCTTTCAGAATATTGTAATTTGTGGTTAGATCTGCGAGTTAATTCAATTTTCTGACCTGGTTTTCACAGTTTCTTGACTAAAAAAATTAAATAAATTTACCCTACAACGTACCGCCTTGCAATGCCAATAAATTCCTCACTTTGCATCGTTTTAAGTAGTCTAAAATTTCCATCATTTTTCTTCTAGCAATGTTCCTACCGCACAAATGAAAAAGGACTGGGAAATTGCACTGCGTAATTTTTTTTGCTAAAGCTATGCCGGCAATGTCACTTATGGGCTTTTCCAAGTTCATATTTCCCAACCAAGTAACTGCCACAAAAAGAGGCGAAAGTTGCTGGAAAACTTCGCAGCCAAGCTCGCTGCTTGGCGATATTTCCAATGACCATCTTGCCTCTGCGGTTTCTTGTAAGAGAGCCTTAATAAACTCGGTCCTCTCGTTTTGCTGGTGTTCCATCGGTAGATTGTTTACGATTAACGATTCTTTACGAACACAATTCCACTTACCACAAGGTGAACTGTCGCGCGAATGCAGTTAAATACGTGTAAACAGGTGAGAATGATAAGAGAAAGTCAGTCAGTAAAGTTAAAGTTCAATTGGATTTTCCGAGTTCGTTGCCATTGGTTTTGTAGATTCCACCGCTTTGTAAACACTGTATGTTGGAGGATATAATTAGCGCCCCCAAAAACAGGAAATGCTTCGTTTCGTTAAAACCTTTATAATTTACATTAATTTAAATGCCGGAATTTTTTCATCTTGGGTTTTTTATATTTATATATCATAGGTTTTCCTGCGGGTTCTGTGAATCCAGATAAATTTTTAGCTGCTACTAATTCGAACAAAATCTTGCTCGGGAGTAGGGATGGGAGAAAAACATCGATGTTTCGCCAACATCGATGTAATTCGTTTGATGTTCGATATTTTTACCATCGATGTTGGAAATTTGGGACATCGATAAAACATCGATGGTAGATCCTGAAATGAAAACATCGGACATTTGATGTAGATACTAGATAGAAACATTTTCTGTCAACTCTTTGATAGTGCCAATACAAACAATACCGCGGCATAGCGACCCATTTCCAGCTGCATCTGAAAAAAGCCTCTTTTTGCAGTCAGTTGACCGAAAAATGTGGCAACCATAAGTTGAATAAATTTAGCCGATTATTTACCAATGCATTGTTTTAAAATGTCATAGTAGTAGTAAAATAAAATTATTTCAGCTTAAGTAATTTGAAATTTATATGCAACGGCAAACTATCACAACATCGATGTTGTCAAACATCGATGTTCTGCCTTCGATGTTTCCTTAACATCGATATTACCTTTCGATGTCAACATCGATGGCTACCATCGATGTTATAGGATCGATGTCCCATCCATACTCGGGAGTGATTCTGTGAAGTCTAAATAGCATTGAAACTACACTCAAAAAAATGCGTTAAATATAAAATAAAATGACTTTAAATCTATTAAACTCCATAAATTGCAGGCAATTTATTTCGGGGGTGATCCGGAAATGAGATTAAATGTTTGCACGTGGTGAATGGGAGTAAATTAATAAAGATGGGTATTTTTCATAGTAATTTTATGAACCGACTAATCTGTATTCGTAAATCGCGGCATTTTCAATCGAAACAATGAGCGTTTCGTGGAGTATTGGAAGTGCCAGTCAAAACAGGAAAATGCGAAATTAAATCAATCGAGCTGGAATGGAAGTGGTTTCATTGATTTTGATTTAAAAACTGCAGTGGTAAAATCGGTTGATTCTCTGCTTAGTGAGTCAGTGTTTTCTTCATATTTATTTACCCTATTCAGCTTCTGAACTTTCTTCTTGAAAATTCAAGTTGTTTTTTTCTTAAAGAAACCGCAAATGCGCTTTACCGAAGCAAAACATGATGTTTGGGCTTTTTTCTGTAGTATTGAATTCTTTAAATCACTAACATCAATGTTCAAACATCAGGAAATACTCATTAAATGAATTCCTCAGACTGGGATTTATATATCTTATTAACTTTAATTTTTTGATTAACTTAGAGTATATTTTACTTACCCCATTTCATCTGGGATGCCTTTTGTGCGACGACTACACTAATTAATGTTCTTGTCTTACGTCCTTCATTCCATCCTTCCACATCAGTTCTTATTAATGTTGATTTTCTCGGGTTTCGCTAGCTCATCGTTTAAATGAGATTAGATAAATTGAGACTCTTTTAATCCCAATGTTTTATGTCAAATATAAAATTTAAACAGTTAAAAAATAACTTGAGTTGCATTTTTTTTATTTGCATTTATAAATCAGCTTATGTCAAATATAGACGAATTAGTCAATTAGCGAATGATGACGATGATAGGGAAAAACCCCAAGAAGGAAATTTCAAATGGTTGAAATTTAGCTGATGTAAAGAAGACAAGACAAGGATACAAAAATTATATCACAAATACAAACTTTATTAACCGATCGACCTTTAGAAAATTAGGATTTACAACTTAAACAGAAACCCCTTACACATTAGAACATTTTGATATTTTACAAGTTAAAGGAAAAGACATCCTACACGCTTCGCTGTAGACCTCGTGACTGGAGGCTAGAACAGCATTATTAACTCGGCGGTTAACTTCATCTAGCTACAGTTATTTATAAAATCTAATACAGTCTTTACACAGAAAGGCATTCCCACAGGACGCCACTACTGATCAATCAGAAATATGTTATATCTTTGCAGTAATAATTGTATTTATGTAGAACTAAACGCAATGGCTTCTTTGGCAGTTGATCTTTTAAAATTTATTTATTGATAAAAATATATTATCTTTAATAATACCCGATGTCTTCAAAAGTGGTTAAAAATGGATGAAGAAGTAGCGACATGAGGATTCTACAAAATGTGCAACTAAAGCTTAAAATTCAAGCACAGTGCCGAATCTGCTAAACTTTAAATAAAAAATTGAATGAGTTCAACTAAAATGTACAAAATTATTCGATAAAGAACAACGAAGGCCATCTGGAAAACCAGCGCAAAGGCTTCTGACAATTTCTTAATGGCAATTTTTTCACTTTCACGACAACAATTTAAAACTAAAACTAAAAACTAAAAGAAAATTAAAACTTTGATCGGAGCAGGCTTGAATCAATTCAATAAATGGAAGCTAAACTGGATCGTTAATGAACTGGATGAAAACAAAAAATTGCAAATTTAGGGAATCTTAAACTGAATATAGAAAGGCGTGGAATTTGGACCAGCAAGCATGGAACTCATCCAATTGATATTCCTTTATCCAAGTCCAAGTTCATCTATTAAAAATTATATAAACAATATATTGCCTTATCAGAGAAGAAACATTCGAGAAAATACTGAAAACCGTAGTGAAAGATCAAACAAAATTATTGCCGATGACTTAGCAGACACCCTGAAATATTTACAGATGATCGTAATTTTCGAATACAAAATTTGCAGCCGGGAAGCTTTGCTTTTAAATCTATTATATAGTTTTTATGCAAAGTAGCACGAAATTCCCGTAGTAACCATTAAAGGTTCTCTTGATATTGTTGTTTATACTTTTTGCGTTCCTGTTGAATTCCTAAATATGCGAGTAAACGTGAATAGATTTATACGCAAAGTATTACTTAGATAATATTAAATGAAAGTTTTGATGTATTATGTACATAGATGAAATACTGTTTAATTAGGAATTTTAAAATCAGAAAACATACATGGTGCACTGCTCAGATCTATACATTTTCAAAATACCCATAACCAATATGAGAGGCATATTCTAGCTTTTCTTGTGTGGATTATTGTCCTCTTGCTTATTCCGTTTTTATATATTTTTTGGAAATTATTTTTTATGTTCCTGACAAGATGCAATAAAAACAGAATTAAAGAGAAACATGCAGTTCGAAATTGAATGCAATTTCAGCTGTGAATGTTTCTTAAATGTATTTCTGCATCATCAGGGCTTGTAAACTATTCATATGAAAAATGTTGTCGTTCATGAAAAGAAATAAAAAAATATATATTTAGAGAACTTAAATAATTTGAGAATAAGCAAACATTGATGATGCAAAATAAATCTTCAAAACGTTATCAGTTTGCGTATTGGACGTCGTTCTAGTTTATTCAATTCCACAGGAATTTTCGACGTTAAACAAAGAAAAATGCTTAAATCAAGGTAAAAAACAAGAAAGTACTAACCCAAAAAGATTAAATGTAACTAATCGATCAGGAACGAAAATTAAGGACTGTTAACTGGACACTAGCGAGCTTTTCGGTCATGCTGAAAACGAATTTATTCCTAAAGTTTTACATCTTTATGCTAAAAGATGCTCCTCAAAAGCCCGAAAAACTCGCTAGTTGCAAGTGAGCAAAGCTACTCTTGACAGTTTGTCCTAAAAACCACTATCAACAATAAAATGCAAAAATTTGAAAAATGTTGAACTTGCTGATGAAGACATCGTGTAAAACATTTAGTTAACTATTTAGGTACCGGTTGCAAGACATCTAACTACTATTATAATTACTATACTGGTCATAAAAATAAACTCTTGCATAATCTTATATATATCACTCGTAACCAGTCTCATGCATAGTGGGTGGACACCGTTCTCTTACTTATCGATAATAGTTATTTTCCATACTAATTCATAAAAATAGTATTACCTAATTGCTTGGAGGTGTTTTACACTTAGCAAGGACCACAAAGGGCGATGTTTATCTACTTAAGACTATTTACATCGTTCGCCCCAAGTCCACATTGACAGTGTCTAAGATAGGAAACATTCAACTAGCTAAATACTTGAGGCTTTGCATTAATTATTATTTTCAAAAAATGCAATCTTCACCTCGATTTGTTTCGTTTATACAACATTTAAAGTTTCTTATCCATAGCGTGTCTTCAGAATCCTTTTGTATGCACGTTGAAAATACATTGTTGTTCCTATTGTTTTTGGATAAAAACGAGTGTTGAACAAACCCTACGATCCCCTAAATAAATAACCCTAAAGATCTGAGTTAAAATCTACCTATCCTAACATGTATAAATATTAATTTGATAAACTCTCTGCTGGCAAAATATGACTGAGGTATTTTTGTAGTTAATTCGGTGACTGTTCGGTCAATCAATTGAAATTTGTACTTACGTTAACTTAGGCTAATTTGGTTATAGTAGGAATTGTTTATTGTTGCCCATTGATCAATAAAGGAAATGTTACCTGTGGTCTTTTGAGTGTTACAGGTGGGGTCTATGCAGCTTCCCATCAAGCTAATTTGACTTTGCAGTTTGAGGCTCAACGTTACTTGATGTGGCAGTATTTGTGCAGCTAGTTTTGTGCATGTCGCAGATGGTCCCTATTTCTCTAACCAAAATCTAGCTAGGCTGCAGATGAGTTGTTTTTTTCTATTTTTGCTCATTTAAGTAATCAGTCATGTCATTTAAGTAATCAGTAAAATGCATGTTTATAATTGTGTGTAGTGTGGCAGGTAGGTGCTTTGATTTTTTGTAAAATAGCGTAAACGAAACAGTTATTGGCTGTCTGGCTGCTAGGACTTTCAGGTCCTGATTATTTGATTTATTGCTCAGACATGGAAGAGTACATACATGCATCTTCTTTAGTGCGTTTCAATTATTCAAGATTCTGCATTATTCGGGCATGAGCATTTTTTTCCTTATAGAAGTACGTACATGTTTCGATAATTCGAGAGAAATAGCGACTGCATCTTAAAAATACATTAAAATTTAGGGAAATTGCATTTGCAACATTTACCTGCTGATTAATTCACAAATTTTCTACAAAACCAGTAACATTCCACATCATTTTGAACAATGATCATCAAAATTTATGGTGATTTTCCTCGATATCACTGAAACTTAAGTCAAGGGAACCTTTGCATAAAATTGTCTATTTTTCTTTTTATCTAAAATAAGCAACAAGTTTTTCAGCCTACGGCAGCCACTTAAATTTTAAAACTTTCCAAAGTCAAAAACATTTTAATTTCAATCTGTTTTCCCGGTTTTTACTGCAAAAGTGAATGTGTTTACAGGTAAATCTTTGCTTACATTTGAAAACCCAGAAACCGATAAAATATCACTAGAAAATACCTGAAAGCTCGAAAGATGGCAAAATATTAGGTTGAAATAGGCAAATAACTGCATCGCTTATCCTACTAGTGAATTTTACACCAGCATAAATTTGCGGGGGCCAAATTTACGAGCCATAAAACGCGTACATTCGCGCGCATTTTCTCGTTAGAAATTTTCATTAAAATTTCCTAAAATTTATGCACATCAGTACTAAAAAACGTTTTTCAGTAGTTAAGGAGGGTTGATTTGAAATGCTACACAAAAAAGTGGACAGTCAGACACACAACAATAAAAACAAAAACGTCGAATAAACAACAATTTTAAAGTAATTTTATTACAAAAATATAAAAGAAATTTTTGATTTGATTGACACTGATGGATCGAGCCAGAAAGTCACAATTTCTGGGTGATTGGAGCATTGTTAATGCAATTTGGAAGAAGCATTTTCAGAAATAATCATCTCACATGTGCGATTTCCTTTTGCCTTCCTAATCAGAACTCGACTGACTTTTCAAGCTTTTTAATTCGTACACTTCAGCTTGAACCGTTATTCTAAAAAATGGAAAACAGTGAGTAAAATAAAAAAAACCTACTTTTCTAAATTTGCAAATTTCGAAGGGCTAATAAGTGGAAAATACTGCAACATTTGCTTAGAAAAACCTAGTCAATTAATGAAAATTAAGAGAATTCCATGTCGCTGCTACGGTATCTACTAACCGGTCGATTTATCCCCGATTAATATGTTACCAAAACCCGATTTCTAGGCGAAAAACTTTGCAGTTGCGATACAAACTTTCCCAAAGTAAAACGCTCACCATAAATAATTGCATCAAATTCGATCAACTTTTCCAAAACCAATCCCTTCAATAGCGCCGTTCTTTCAAGGAAATCACGTTTGTTTTGAAAGGAATTTTCCAAATTGGGCCATGAAAGTCACGTAAATCATGTTATTTTGACCCACTTTGAGAAACTCGACGACAAATAAATAAATATTGGATCAGGCCGCTATTTAACGGAAATGAACGCGCATTTACGTTCAATCTACTAGGGAATCATTAATTAACTGTTGCGAAGGATGCGGCTTGTCTCAGACTATTTTGATATATGAATATTGACTGATTTATTAGACTCATATATGGCAGAATGTCCGAAGGAAAATTTGATATGCATGATGCAAAGCTGCCATTTGCATCTTTAGTGAGAGGCTTATGGTAAACGCTCTCTAGCATGGGCATTTACCTGCGTAACACGGTTATTTAACAAAAATACTTAAGGTGCTGCTGCTAAATATTCAGGCTTTAATTAGTGGAATAAGTTATCAAAGGGGCACTGTTGGAGTAAACTTGCAGGATTTTTTGCGATGATTAAAACCACCACTAATAAACCTAATTATCGCAATTTTTAATAGAACATTCTGTATATTTTGACTCCGATCGATGACAAATGAAATACTGCAAGATTAGAATAATGCAGTGAAAGGTTTAGAAAAGAATGGTTAAAAAATTGTGTTGATTTTCGCAGTGAATAGATAAAAGTTAAGGAAAGTGAAAAAGAATTGGAGGTGGTTTTCTTATGAATCCAATGGAGACGTTTGCTCGCTTTTCGTCTGAGCAAAATTTGCAAACAAATAATTGCCCTAAATAACACTTCAAAAAGAAACCAAATCGTTTTCAGCAATCCGAATTTATCCAGTTCCAAAATTAACAGAAATTTGTCAGTATAACGTCTATTTTGATCAGTAAACGCTTTCAAAGTTCTGCAACTCCGCTTTTAAAATATGTAACTTCCCATAACGCATCAAAAACTTACGCTTTTACAGCGTATAGCAGACATTCATATGAAAATAAAAAAACAAGCTTATATTAAAAAAAAAAAACTTCCAATCCAAAGCGACGAACAACTTCGCATTTCCTAAATATAACAGAAAATGATTGAAAACGGCCCACTTTCCTTTATAAGTATCACAATGTTATTGAACCTTTTTGCTTGTTTGCTTAGGAAAAACCGATTTATCCTGCGGAAACTGCGGTTAAAATACCAAAAAACCAGCTGGGATTGGGTGGGGTGACGTCCCTTGCGAAAACGACGTCCTTATTCCATATTGCAAAGGGTGAAAGCTTGGCTTATATTTTCATCGTATACTTTGATTCGACGCAAAAATCGTGCAAATTTTTTCCACTTCGTACAAATACGAAGCCAGGGTAATAACAACAAAACATCGCTAAATCCCTGGAGTACGTGACCCGCATGTACTGTTAACGTCCCAGCATTGCTTCCGTTTGCAAAAAAAAATATTTAGCAGCGAAACCCGAAACGTCTTAGTCTAGTCGATTTAAAATTAAAGTGGATGAAAACCATCCATCAGGTCAACTACGAGGGCGCAAAGGTTGCAACGAATGCAAAACAATGAAATCACGACTGCTTAAAACTAATGGAATTGCGTTGATAACCTGTGAGGCTGTTGCGAACTACACGAAGGACTACTTTCAATGTCAAAAAAGGGGCTGCCATCTTCTAGCACTTCGCTGAGTGGATTTGATTCAATGAGGATGTTCTGTTCTTCGTTGAACGGATTTAGACCGTGTAAACCCAATGCGGGCGGATTTTCCTCTCGCATGGCGGCCTGATCGAAATAGTGTACACCAATGGGACTGTGGAAGAAGGATATGGATTCAAAATCCACCCCAACACATCCCTGGAAGCAAAATTTAATACTCACTCTCTAGAACACTCGTTATTTAGTAAACATTTGTAAAGGGACTTAAATGGCTTCATACAGAACTTTGCGTTAAATAAAAGGTGCTTTTATCAGACTATGAAGGCTTTCACGGCCGGTCAGATTACATTTAGGAATGTTTTCCGGGCTTTGAAGCCGTGGTCTATCGGAATTTCTTCCTGACGTTTCGTCCACAACTGCGGTGGACATTTTCAAAGGCGATGAGGCAGTGGGGGAAGTGATCTCCCGTGCTTTCCGACTAAGAATGATTCAACTGTTGGATTCCCAGTCGTATTTATGCAACCACCAAGGCTCTACGGACTACCCAAGATCCATAAACCGGATGTACCACTGAGACCCATTGTGAGCGCCATTGGAAGTCCCACCTACAATATTGCAAAATATCTAGCCAAACTATTACAGCCAAAAATTGGAAAAACGGACAGCTTTATAAAGGACTCATCCTATTTTGTTCAGAGGTTGCACTCGTTGTCGTTATCGCCCGGGGAAATCCTTGTGAG